GGGGGCGGGTGGGGTGGGGGGCTGATAACGTCCGTGTTTTTGTCGCGTGCAGCAAAAGAATTCTCGTTGGCCCCAGCATGCTGAGAACGTCCGTGTTTGACGCTCCCGCGGGAGACGCACTCTTGGAGGCTCGCAATTCACGTTCCGGTTGGTTCTTGGGGGGGGGGTGGGGGGGGTGGGGTGGGGGGCTAAGAACGTCCGTGTTTGGCGCGTGGAGCAAGAGAAGTCGCGTTGGCCGCAGTACGTTCTGGTTGGTCCCAGGGGGGGGTTCAAATGCTTGAAAACAGGGGCTAAAGACCGACGCGGGGAAGCCGAATCCTGTGGCCCTGCCAGCACTTTAACAACTTCGGAACCAAAAAGCGCGATTTCCAGCATGCACGCCCAGAGCCGGAAACCATGGCCCTGCCGACGTTTCGTGCACTTTCAGACCTCCCCAACATCGCGAAGTTACAAGTAACGAAGTCCGAATTCATTGGCCCTGCCAACACAAAACGCACCTCCGCGCGTACAAGCGAACGGGCACGCCTTTGCACAAGCGAACGGGCAAATCTTTGCACAAGTGACCGCTCAGCCTCGCGGAATCATTACTTGGGGGCGAGGATTGTTCATTCCTGCGGCATGGATCAACTCCATCACCATTTCTTACTGCTGCAGCCTTCCATTCTTCCAGATGGTCTGTGAACTTTGCAGGGCACGGCTGCCTCTTCAATTCAGTCCGAAGCCCTGTTTTCGACACTCACACTCGGACAAGCCTGGCAAGGTTTGCAGTTGTAGGTTCGACGACTTCGCTAACAACTCATCAAGTTGATTCACTCGATGAGCACGCTGTCAGATGGAACTCCCAACACGACAACCACAGGTGTACGAGCATATCCACAAGACCCACTGACAGCAGTTTCTCCCCAGTAGCAAGCGCTTATACCCAATGACGAAGAAACCCAGCCCCAAGTTTCTCCCTGGGAGAAACCGATGAAACCCTTAGTACCACAATCTACTTCTCAGCACATTCTGACACCAAGGCTTCAGCAATTGTTCTAGCACATCATTCATGCAGTCTGCACTCTCGGTGGACCAAGGCTTGCGGAGGGCAGTTTGCAACACGAATTTGCGGATCTCACATCACAGATGGGTCATGCAGTAAAGCTTTCCCATGACAACCATCCCCATGCATCCCAGACTTGGCAGTAGGCAAGGTTTGTTCTACCATACCTCGCATGCAGCGTGCATACGAATACCTGCCCGAAGCCTTTTACTGTTCTGTCTTCGTATGCGTGCAGTGTAACATGACGATGGACGACGAACTGCCCCAAAAGCTTCAAACCAAGGCCTACGACATGCCACAACAGCCACGCAGGAAGACAACATCTCGTCTCCAGCCCGAGCACTTGACAGGAAACGGCGACTCCTTGAAAGGGGCACTAAGCCCACCGGTGGCGGCAGCGACCGTGCTCGGGGGGCGGCAGCTGCAGCCCTGGAGATCGGCGGCCAATGATGACTTCTGGTCGGCTTGGTGGTGCGCCCATGGAGATCGGGTCGGAGCTCAGAATCGGCTGGGTGAGCGCTGGGTTCTTTTTGAAAGATCCGGGATGTTGGCTGAAATATTCGTGTGTAGCGGCCTCACAAATCACCATGCTCCAACCAACGAGAAGAACAACAACACGGAACTCCCTCGTCTTTCTCCAGCACAGAGCCTGGCCGGCGACGGCGTCATGACTGGGACGGCCTCTGGCCTGCATGCGAGCATCCTAGGACCTGAAGCTCAACATCATGCCCATTGTGTCACTGTACTGAGTGTGACTGTGTGGCGGCAGGGGCGCTGGCATCTGCTACAGGTGAAAACGTTGCTCTTCAGAGAGTACCAGCAGTGGCAGTGGCGTTCGCAGTGGCAAAGCGGTAGCGGGAGTAGCAGTAGCAAAGGCAGAAGCGCAAGCAGGAGTTGTGGCAGCGGCAGCAGCAGCGGTTTCAGCACTAGTAGTAGTAGTAGTAGTAGTAGTAGTAGTAGTAGTAGTAGTAGTAGTAGTAGTAGTAGTAGTAGTAGTAGTAGTAGTAGTAGTAGCAGTAGCAGTAGCAGTAGCAGTAGCAGTAGTAGTGGTAGAAGTAGCAGTAGTAGACCAGCTGGACCGGCGGCTGCAAACTCCAAACAGGTACGCTGTAAGCCCCAAACCTTCAAGACCACAACGGATGCAGTTAAGGTACCTTGGCGGTCTTCTGCGGCCCCGAGGGGCTGTTTGGGGATATGCGCTTGGCCTGAGCTCCTTCAAAGGGGAGAGGCGCTTTCAGGATGATCGGATTGTCCGGGTAAGGTGTCCAAGTCAGCACGAGGCTTCGCACAAGGCTTTCGAGGTTTGGCGGGGTGGTGAGCTGTGAGGGTAATGAGCATATAGGGAGTTGGTTGCAGCTGCCCGTTAACGGTCTTTGTAAGTGTCACGAGCAGGGCTTTACGGCTTGAGGACGATTGTTTTTTGAGTGTGGTTCTCGAGGTGCTTGATAATTGCAGTGCTGCCCCGTGACTTGCCCAACCCTGCTCAAGCAGTGCACAAACTTCGACTGCACACGTCAGTGCTCCGAATAAAAGTGCTACTAGATAATCTATCACTACCACTACCACTACTACTCCTCCTGCTGCTGCTGCAGTAGCAGCAAAGCTCGCATCGACCCGCCGAGCCGCTCTGCTTTGCTGAGTGTCTATGCTGTGAGGTTTAGGGTCACCAGCTTCGAGAAGAACAGTCAATGTTGGCATTCGCTCTGCTCTGCATTGCTGGCCCGGAATGCACCGCCGTACCTCGTGTGCATCGGCTGCAGCAGGAGTGGACCTCCATGGATGGGAACATTCGGGGCTTCACTGCGTACTTATAAAGCACAGCGTGGATGTGATGCCATCAGCATGTGCGATGGACGGAGCTATCAATGCAATCGGCTTCGTTGAATTTCGTGTCGAAGGCTTTGCGCAAGCCCCAGCCAAAAACCTCAAACCGCTTGAGGCTCTATTCCACATCCCGGAAACAAACCCCAACTCAATTCCTGACAAGGCCGTGATGCCTCAGCACGTTGGTGCCCGACACCTCAGGTTGGGTGGAAAACAAAGTAGAACAAAGCAGCATTCTGCAAATTCTGATACGGATAAACTCAAGCGCTGCAGCTTCTCCGGGTGCATTTTCTGACCCTCTCCCAGTCGATCGAAACCCACTGCGCCGGAGGGTGATTCCCCAACCATTGCATGCTTTGGAAACTCAATACTGGTCTCCAAGATCGTAAAACCCGAACCCCCAAGTCACAAACCCCAGGCTCCTACAAACATCATGGGCCAGCCACCGCGATTTGTGGCAAACCGCGCGGCCGGAGGATGTCCGAGAAGGGCGGAGCCTCTCATTTTGATTGACCAAAAGGGTTTAAAGGTTTTGGGCTCCAGGGTTCACGGTCAACTGGAAATAAACTCTCTATGCTCGTTTAGAGCTCGACGTTAAAGTCAGGGATGCTCATGGTCGTCATCACAACCGGTTGGAAATCAAGCCAGGAGTTCAAGGCATCAACAAAGCCCTAAACACATCGGCCAGAACTGATCTCCCAAATCCCAAACTTGGAAAGCTCCACGCGGCCTTACACCTAAACTCCTAAACTCACGATTCCCGAACCGCAGCACGCCGCATTTTGCAATCGCACTTCAAGCGCGAGTTGCAAGCACTGTAAATCCAAAAAAGTTCTGGACGTGCAACCTAGAGACTCCCAACTCGCTTTGATCAAGGACCAGGAGAATATCTTTTGGGTTAGTATCGGAGATCCTGAACAAGGAACCCTTGCCTGGGATGTATGGCTTAGAGGTTGAGAGTTTTGGGCTTGGGGGGTGCAAGGTTTCAGGCTTGTAGCAGCGGGGTATCACAGACCCCTTTGTTCTCCTTCCGAGATCGTTTTTTTGCCTCCTACTTCGGTTTCGCATCGGAGGCTTAGGATGTTTGGCTCGCAGGGTCTGAGGCTTTCGCGCTCACACTCGGACAAGCCGGGCGAAGTTATGGCTGCTGGGTCGGAGGAGGTTTATAGGGTTTAAAAATACTGGCCAGTTTAGGATATAAGGTCGGTTTGAGGGCACTCCATGTGAACTTGCACACGAAACAAGCCTTCTCCCTAAACCCTGTATGCAGGGTTCCCGATGCCAACGGCAAAGATACCAGCCCGGATCAGTAAAGAGACCCATGTACAACTCTACGAGCGTAAGTGCCATGTAAGTGCATGTATGTTCGTCTGTTTGTGTGCAAGCTTGCATGCTTACATGTGCACATGTCTGCTACTGACGTAATCACAACCACGAGTGCATGCATAATTTGTGTGTTAAGTGGGTTTCAACTATGTATACCTTCTTATCATATATTGGTCGACACAAGCACCTGCCGTCCAGGACTTAGCCAGCAGGCTTGTGTCAGCAATGTGTCCCCCTCATCTCAAGCTTGAGAGACCTCTTGCTAAGGGGCCGTACTACAGCAAGCAAGAAAAGCTGAAGAGCACTTCTACCCGAAAGCCATCCCAAAACAAGAATACTGCGACCCGACGTCCCGACCTAAACATGCTCTGTGATCCCACATCCCAACTGTTCTGCTAAGCCTGCTCAAAAGCTACAGGCCCGCATCTGATCAGAACCTTTTCGCTGGCAGCTAACGCCTCTCAGGGCTTCGATCCGTGGACTCGGGAGGCCGAAGATAATGTCGTCGAGAAGTCATGTCGCAGTGTAAATCAAAGGATGAAATGAGAAGGATCCCTGGCTCACCAATACCCCGTCTTCAGGTGCCTTGGGGCTTCCAAATCGATGTTCAAGGTCTCACCTTCCGACTCCAGCTGAGGCTGCCCTCTGCTGTATTTCCTGACTTGAAACCGCTGTTGGTCCGATGTCAAGGCCCGAGATCTTTCCAACCTTTGAAGACGCCGGAGATCACCCCATGGGGAGTGTTGTCGAGGAGCTTCGCCACGCTCACACGCGTAGCTTTGTACAGCTCAGCTGTCGAGCTGTCGTACTAGGAGGCAGACAAGGCACTTTGGCCAGCATCCACAGTGCCTTCCAAAACATCGAAGATCTTCCAGGCATCAGGCTTCGCGTTCCGGCGCCCAGACTGGAAGCGTGTCTTCCACAAGTTGTCGTAGTCCTAGGCTGAAAGTTGCATGGGATGTCCAGGGACAGAAACGACTGAGGCCTTTAGGCTTCGTTCGTTGAGGCTCGACACTCGTTGCTCCACTGATGAGACAGGCCACACCAACGGATGTCCAAAGAAGTGACACCATCTTCACACGCACGAATCGCAAGCAATCCACCAGAACTTGACCTGAAATCCCAAAAAGCCTTTCAACTCTTGCCCGTAACCCTTAAAGCCCTTGACCGCAAAGATGAAGCAACCAGCACCTAGCCAGGAAATCCCAAACCTGAGAACTGAAAACCTAAAGCCACAAAGAAATGCAAATCCTTACACTGTTGAAACCAGACCGCCCACCCCCTTAGGCCCGAAAACCTCCAAAAGGAGAGGCCGTTGCGCCGAGAAAACCATGAGGACCCAAAGCTTAGACCCCAAGCTTAGAGGGCTGCGCAGATTTTCTCGTATACCGTTTGTTTGTTTTTTTTAAGTGCTACCTTTTGGGTTGAGGGTTCTTGTTGTGACAGATCTCTGCTCAAGTGTTAGTATTCGCGGTACGGCTGAGCCTACCGTTTCGGGTTGTGGGCTAATCCGTGAAGAGTCGAGCTCGAAACGAACTGCTGGGAAAAGCCGCACAAACTGGCAGATGACAGCCTCGGTGATGCTCGACGGAAGGGTACCCTCGCAGCTACAAGGGAACTGTCAGAACTGCGAGCGAACTAACTCGGCAAGAAAACAGGTAGCTCTCTTTGGGAATTGACTGCCTGCAACAATGAAAATTGTCCACCGGCCCGCGCCCCCTGTGAAATATGAACGGGCAGGGGGCAATGTCTCAGTGCTATTGCTCGGATCCCCCCTCTCTTCTGCTCCTGTTTTCCGGTAGCCTGAATTTTACAGCAGAATGTACATACAACTCCCATGCAACTAACGGATGCACACGCACACGCACTGGCAACCCTTGCACGTGAGGAAAGTCAAGACATGTTCATGTCAAGCAGACGCAGAAGCTGTTTGTTCAGTCTGCTCCGAGATTGGCCGGACAGGGCAACAGGATTAATTTAGGGTTTAGGGTTTTGAGGGGCCTAGACGATAAAGTTCAGGCGTATGGGGTTGCAGTCACCCTGTCTTCCACAGCTGGCTCATTCATCAGCAACGACTCGGTACTATCCGAAACTCTTACTCAAGAAGCAGAATCCTCAAGGCTTCCACCCGTGAACTTCTTAGCGCTCAGGCCTTCGCTATTTAAATATCTCAGGGAGGACTTCTGCGACTCCGAGGACGACGGGATCAGCGAGTGGCGCAATGTGCATGGCAATTCATTCGCTGCTCTTCCCTTAGGTAGTGAAGTAACACAACTCACCTGATGCATCGGCCGGCATTTACTCTCAACTCTAACTCTAATCCTGAGGCACCTCCCACTTGTCCCGAACCCAACGAAAGCCTTGCTTTGCACCTTGCCTTGCAGTGCCAAGCAACGATGCAGGATATGCAGGGAAAGTGCGAGACATACCTTCTTATACTAGTTTAGGATGGTGGGCGGAGGGCAGGCAGGGCGGGGCTGGGAAAGCGGTTCACGCGCCGGCTCAGAGCAACCCGAGGCGACGAAAAACACCATCAAGTGGTACGGTATGCATTAATAAGGCACCGAAAGAGCACATAAGCAAACTTAGGACAGGGATAATATGGTGGCCCGTTTAATCCAATGAGCCCAATTAATGCCTACCTCAACCCCAAGCCCTCGAATCAAAGCCATTCAGACCCCTGAGCCAGCCCCCAAAGCTGCGACCCCGCAATTCCCTAACTTAACCAATCAACGCCACCCAGACTCTGACCCCCGGGTCACTGACACCAGACTATTCAAGCCAAAACTTTTGGTCGGGGGGGCTGGGCCTGCTATTCGGGCCGCAACATTATCACACAAAAACCCACTTATCATGAAGCCCTTCAGGTAGGGATATCCCTGTAGGCTGCTTATGCTTATGTCCTGTTTGGGTGTTCGTCTCCATCGTCGTAGCAGTTGTGGCATGGCGGCACGGCGTTCAAGGACGAGTAACAGCACACACCGGCATGTCATCACAGTACCCATACTTCGATATCGGCTGATGAGTCATAATTTCCTGAGCGACCACGACACAGTCACCGCATGACTTCAAACAGGCAGCCTCTGATTCTATTTCTCTCCTTCGCCTCAATCCACCCCGCCCTCAAGTTGAACTTATCAGCACCGGCGCATCCTTACGTAGCCACTGCAGTCGTCAAAGCCATCAAAGCCTGGCTTGGGAAGGCTGGGGCTCGCGGAGGAGGGTCGGGTGCACACGCACACACACACACACACACAGACAAACAAAACCCGCGAAACAAACACAAGCAAATAAACAGCAACACGCATGTTGCCACGAATGGACTCTCTTCTGCTTAGAAGCATGTACCATTGGACGCGTGGCTGGTGTCTGCAGATTCGTGCATGTGTTGCTGCTTCTGGCATCCTGCATACACCTAGACAGGTGACGTAAGTTCGATCACACCATGGGCGAGTACACGGATCGACGAAAGTGACGCATGCCGAGTGATGTAGTCGGGGTTGTATTTTGGAGGGCCCGGTCAACCAAATTCTTGCAGCAACGCAGCCACATCTTCTTGCAATCGCTCTTGTCTGGTGGAGTAGACCTTGTCTAAAGTCTAAAGAGCTGTGTGGACAAGACCAAGAGGGGTTTAGGGTTGCGGGCTTCGGGACGTGCCGATAGGATGCTGACACCGCCTGCGGTTTATCCCCAGTTGGACTTACTGCTAGCCGGGCACTTGTACTAAGGCTGGAGGCATGATCTGCATTGTTTCTGTCTGTAGTAGCTTGGTTCTTCAAAAGCCACCCTTTACGCACCGAATGATCGACATTTGGCAGACCCCGACAGTTTTTCCCTGGCATCACCAAGGAGCAGAACCGTTCGCAGTGATCGTCACGGTGGATATGGCCTGTACAGGTCGTCATGCGAAGAGTCTCGGCCTTTTGCAGCCGGCGACTGCAAGGCTGGCATGGTCCGCTCTCTTCCAGAAAACTTGAAGCATTGCGGCTGAGGTGCTGAACACAGGTAACAGCATCTTTTGCAGTCCTTGGACTGCAAAGGCTGCATTTGCTGCTGCTCGAGTTTAGCACAAACAGCGGTGCTGACAACGGCGTATGTGCCTCCAAGATCTGTGGTGTACCAGCGTACGACTGTAGCAGGGGTTGCGACATTGAATACCTAGGCCTAGGTTTGTTGGCGATTATGTTTTTTACAAAGCTTTCATCACATTATCACACCGAGCACTCAGCAAACCAACCTCTGTGCGAGGGTTGAGTTGGACCTCTCCCCTTCCCATGATGATATACCCACGCCCGCCCCTCTGGAACGACGAGGCTCCTGTCTCCAACATGGTTTTCACGAAATGGAAGGAGTATGGCGCATCCAAGCTTAGCCAACATGGATGGGCACAGGCCCCTTAACAGCGCAGATGCACGAGTTGGATGCAACGAACAACGCACATTGACTATTTTTCCTCGATAGAAAAGTTCACAGACCGCAAGAGAAGTATAACAACAAAACATCGGCACAGGCGAGGCCGGTACTACTCCAGCAGAACATCCCTCCAGTGTTTTGAAAACAATCCAAAACCCGCCAGAATCTGCAAAACAAACCCGAAACCCTAAACCTTGAACCCTAAAACAAATCTCCAGCCAGAGTCGCTGTCCACTCCATCCAGCACGCCCCAGTAGAAGAGCCGACCCGGCTCGACGAGCAAGAGCTCCTCCAAAGACTTCCGGAGCTTCATCGCGGCAGTCTTGAGGGGGTCATGAGGATATATGCTCTATAGGGGCCTTATAATCTTAATAATTAGTTTTGGAATAGGGTTTTGGGGTACATGATACTATATCATGTACTAAGAAGCCCCCAAATAGTAGAGGTAATTATGAATGTAATGGTCCCTATTAGGAAGGCATTTAGGGGTTGAAGGGTGGGAGTTTCTGTGGTTGAGAGAAGCTCTTAGCTTCGACTATCACCTCTCTTTTCCAGCTTCAAAGCCTCCGGAGCGAAGTGCTACAGTAAAAGCCAGAAAGCTGGAATATGATTATCCTAAACCCTTCTATGGTAAATTATAGGGTATCCTACCCTGAAACCATATTCCCACTTTCTGGAGTTCCCTGTAGGGGAATTCCAGCGTCCGGTTCTGTATCAGGCCTGGGTTCAGACGGACTCGTGCCCTCTGACTCTAGCTTCTTTAGACAAGCTTCCACATCCCGGTGCTGAACATCCAACCCTGACCAGACTGCAGCCTGCTGGCTTCCATTGCCGCTCCACGACAGCCTAATGCCCTATCCTGCAGAACTACTTGCGCGACTCCTGTCAGTCAGAATCGCGGAGGTGCGGAAGGGGGGGTAAAACAAATCTGCAGTCGGAAACTCCGAGAATCACCTATGGAGACCATGCGAGCTAGTGGAACCATACCTCAGAATACCATATAAGCTGCTCGTAATGCAACCGCTTGCCACGCCTCCTTGAAGAAGATCCGGCTGGAAAACCAGGCAATAATACCTTAGAAGCTGCCCCCGCCCTGTAATAGTGGTATAATCGGAATATAATAGGGCCCTATTATAATCCTTATACTTAGTATTACAGGGTGGGGGCAGCTTCTAAATTTGGACATCAAGGTCCAGGGTGGATGTGAAGTGCCGCGATGGTGCTACGGTGCTACGGTTCAGTTCATCAGGTCGGAGCAAAGTCTAGACCTTCTTCCTACAAAGGCAACCTCGGGCGCTTCTGCTGACTGAAAAGCACCCAAACGCCTGCAGGCTGGAATTCTAGATCTACACCAGTGCGATAAAAATACTACTGAGTATGCATCTATGCCGCAGATATATTCAGATAATGTCCGACTCTACAATATAGGTTGAAACAACTATGCACATATATATATATATATATATATATACACACATCTATATATATATATATGTATACCCGTATCATGAGTACACATAGACGAAAGCCACCCGGGAGCGCACCTTCCGTCGACGGAACCCGGACCGCGCGCCCGAGGGGTCGCTCCGGATCTCGGTAGAAGCTCAATGGGGCCAAGAAATGGCTCAGTCTGGAGAAAAATCTTTGCAGGGCTCGTGGGAGAGGGTTGATTTCAACCTTTACGGGCGGCCATACAACATCGGGTTCAGGGTGTCGATCGCCGAGTGCCTCCGTTTCTTGTTTCGATTTTTGCAGCTCACAGGGCTCCGGGTGGAAAAGCTCCCAGTCTCGGGCTGGCGGTGGCCTTTTCCCCGAAAGCCATCCGAGCAAATTGAAAGCTGCTACGCTGTTTTGCCTGACTCCAGACAGTTAGTTTGAATTCATCCATATTCTTCCCCCGTCGGCCGGACGCATCATGCTCTAAGAATCTAGGAGCTCAGAAACACAACCAAAGACTCTCCTCTAACCTCGAACATGAATCTACGGGGCGCAGGCGTTCTTGGCCGTACTGGAGTGGCAACCCATCCGAAGAGTCCCGATCGTCCTGGGTTGCAACGAGGGTAGCATCTAGAGTCTAGGGTTTCATGAGAGTGGACCAAGGCCCTGACCTGCAGGATCCTTTTGGGGATAAGTTGATGTATGGTTTATCCCAAGGTTAGGGAGGCCTTAAGAACGAAGTGTGGCGCAAGCAGAGCCCAACTTTGAAAAAAGCCGATGCAAAAACGGACTACACTCTTTGGTAAAGTCCCTTCTCTGACTCCAAAACCCCAAATTCGTGTATCTCTCGACCCACAGAAGTATAAGCTCTCGGCATCAAACCCGAAACGCAGAACCGGCCTCCTTGCGTGCGGAGGCTGATCCATGGCTCATGGCACTTACTCGGAAAAGCCTCGAATCGTCCCTCACGAAGTGTAGATAAGCATGGTGGTACATGTCGTGCGTTTGTGTGTATGTATATGTGTATATATATATATATATATATATATATATAACATACTATATATATATATATATATATATATATATATACACATACACACATATATATATATATATATATATACACATACATATACCTGTACGTATATACCACCGCCAACACTCACACCGCCAGGGCATCGTATACCTCCTCATTATGTCTGCTTTTGGCAATGCGCGACGCACGTGCGTGTACTTCGTGGTTCTCCGTATATTTACCTATGCAGGTAACTGTGTACATAAAACAAACATACAGTAGAAGCCGGAAAGTTGGAATATCATTATCATAATCCCTTCAAGGTAAATTATAGGGGATCCTACCATTAATCCATATTCCAACTTTCTGGAGTTCCCTTTAAGCCGAAGGTCTCGGCTCAGAGCCCTAAGCACACAGTAGGAAGCCGTCTTAGCAGACGGGTGTCGCCCAAACGCTCGTGAACTGCAAATCCTGTAGCTGGAAGCTGATTCAAGATTCAAGCAAGTCCCCGAAACACCTGGATTGAACAGGTGAACTCACATGGCGCCTTGGAAATTGTATCTGATACACTATCACCATCTACGCTTCCAATTATTAGAGATCCCGAAAAGGCTGCTTGCCTCTTCTGAAAGCGCACGGGGATGCCGGCGTCGGCTTCGGAGGGGTGCATGTACCTCTGCATGTTACGCATTCTCGTTTTGCATGCATTGGTTGCTTGCGGATTCGCAGGGGGCGGGGGTCAAAATGAAGCAAATTCGGTCATGCTCCGACTGAGACGCATACATCTGGCGAGGTCCAGAGCCTCAAGGTCCAAAATTGAAATCTCCACAATTATAGAAACAATCTCTGTGTAAAGCAACAAACACTAGACTGAAACCCAATCCTAATCCATGCGCGAGATTCGAGATTTGAAGGCCCTGGTCGAAACCTCGTTAAGAAATCCCACATCCCGGCTCACTTCCTCAGGCGGGGGGAAAGCCGCCGATCGGCAAGTTGGACAGGACCTGGAGCTAGGGAACGCAGGGTTTGCAGTTGTACGGTTTAAGGTCTGCGCGTTCAGGGTGTCAGAGGTTTTGAGATTCAGTGTTTTTGTTTAAGCTTCGGGGTTTTGGTCTTGGGGTCTGTGGTGCTTTTGTAAATCCTGCCGTTCTAGGCCCTAGGTTGACTTGATGGCGTTCGACTCTCATGCTTTTGGGAGTTCCAGCGCTTTCGAGGTTCGGGACGTGGCATAGTAGAAGTAGAATCGCACTACTGTTCAAGAGCACATGATGCTTCAGAGCAAGCACTTCCGTAGGCAATATTCGCTGGTTCAGTGGATGCTGAAAGGTTGTAGCGGCGAGAGCTTTACCCGGTTGTCAATGATAGGATGCGAGAAGCGAGTAGATGTTTTGAGCCACTGCACCCAAGAAGCACTTCGGTGTTGTTGGCACGGAGTGACTATTCCCAGACCGACTTGCGAAACGGCCCCTCCTACCCTGCAGCACATCCTGTCAAAAACACTCTGTCATCCTGGAAGCCAACAACCTAATGTAGAGGCCCGAATGATTAGAATAGGGTTTTGGGGCCCATTATACTAATTATAATGGCCCTATAGTAAAAGCAATTTGAATGAGAGAGATATAGCAGTGCAGGTCTGTTACCCTGATAGTCAGGACCTTTACAAGTGTCATGCTGTTAGTCATAGTCATAATCACATCCTTGAGCACTTTTACGACTGCTACTACTACGACTACTACGACGACGACTACTACTACTACTACTGCCACTGCTTCTGCTTCTGCTGTTGCTAGTACGACGACGACGACTACTACTACTGCTACTGTTACTGCTACTGCTACTGCTACTTCTACTGCTACTGCTGCTCCTACAACTCCAACTACAACAACAACTTCTCCTTCCACCGCTACCGACACCGCCATTACTGGAAGTATGGGGGTGACAACGATCTGGGTGCCAAGCTGTCGGAGCCTTAACCACCCCCGAGCGCAGTCCTCATGGCTGATCGTGTCTTGCTCGGACTGGGAGGGCTTGAGTTTAAAGGTTTCGCCATCATGAAGTGAGAGATTCTACTTGAGCTGCAGTTGACGCCATGTGAGAACAAAGAACTACTTGATGCCGCAACCATAACGACAACACAGCTGATGAGAGCAACCTAGAGACCCCTTCGTCATTGCTGCCCCGACGACGACCATGATGGTTGTCTGGGCCAAGCAATGCACAAACGTTTGCAAGGGCACCTGGCAGCATACCTGCCGCGCTAGCCGAGGGGTGGCGGGGGTGAGGACCTGAAAAAAGCACTAAGCGAACCCGACGGTCCCTCGAGCAAACACTTCTGGAACCTCTATATATGTCCGCCACCAACTCAAAACCCTATCCAGGCAGTTCAGGTGTTCACCTTATAACTGGCGACTGCATTGGTCGCAACAACCTGCTACAATTGTAGCGATGACCATCGACACCAAAACGCTACGAAGGGCAACAAGCAACCCAGCAGAAGTGGTATAGTCGCGATGGTAATCTTCAAATAATCGTGTAACAAACTAGGCGGAATCGGACAGCTCGACTTCCTGACAGCCCTTGTACCATCAGCACTGTCCAGCATGGGATACCCTGCAGCAGTCCTCCGTATCATGCAACTTGTTGTAGCACACCGGGCATTGCCAGGCAGGCTCGTCTGCACGAATGTCATCCATGCACCTTCTGGCAATACCGGATCACTTCCGAACTTGAAGCCGTGACCAACGCCGAATACGGACAAACGATCCCTTAACCGTAAGAAGACTTCACCGCAAAAATCCGGAGTCCTATAGTTGGTTTGGGACTTTGAAGCAGAAAGCAAAAGGTTGGGTCAGATCCTACTGTAGCCTGCCACGGGGGCCCGACACTGTTCCAACGCTTTGAAGAGAGCTTGGAAGGAAGCTGTAGGATGGGCAGCGCAACGAATCCTGCTCGCAATAGATCGCAAGCACTGTTTTGTCAGATGTGCTGCATGCCTCTGAGTATTCGATGCCACTCGCTCAGCATGCACGGCGGTCCTAAACCCTAATGGCCCGAACCGTCTTCCATGGAGTTCCGAAAAGCTACCCAGGTTGAGGGTTCAGGATTACAGGGTCGCTGCAAACCGTCGCGGCATCGAATTCTGCTTGCACATTTGCAAGCACCCGGGCAGAAGCGAAATCCGCCAAGCATGTGGTCCAAGACTCATTTCACGCAAACTGCGTGAAATCGTTCGTCGGAACTAGGTGTACCTCCACGTCTAAGCGTCTCACAAATCCAAGTTTCTCAACAATGACAACTATAATCCGTACTTCGACACATGCCTGGGCTCAGTAACTGGAGGGCGCCGCTTTGTAGAAAAATCGAAGCATGAACGATGAGAAAGTACTGCAGAACGAACACCAACACCCATGCCTGTGCAGACTTCGCAGAAAGCTCTCTTGCCGAGAGGGCAGCCCCGTCACGGGTTGCCACGCAACTAGGGAGGACTGGTCCAAAACCACACCCATCAGTGCGATTTCCACTATGGTGGTGTCATCCTGAACAAACAGAGACAACCCTAAACTCACCTGAAGACGGAGCCAGTCGCGGCCAGCACTACATATGTTCTCAAATGATCAACTAGAGCCCCACCTATAATTACTCTCTACTCTCTTGACTGCGCTTTTGAACATTTGCTTGGATGGTAATGTTGCTGTGTGGCTGCTACTGTTTGTGTTACTATTGCCAGTGTTGACGACGAGCGGCCTTATGGTAACTGCGTTGTTTTACTTTGTGCGCCTGTGGTCACCTCATCGAATACAGTCAGGAGAGAAGGCTTTCTTGAAGTGTGGAGGACTTCAGATAGGGTCCTTTCATAATTAGAAGAGGGCTTCGGGGCCTATGATACTATAAGTATAAGGAACCCCCAAAATAGTATAGGTAACTATTGCCTCTCTTGTGAAAGCCTTCGAGCCTAAGCCGTATCATCGGACCAATCCTCCAGTCTCTGCGGCTGTGGCAGCTCTGCTGCGACCTCCAGCCCCACCGGCTGGCTGCCAAATCAAATCTTCGGGTCTTGGTTCAGGACAACGAAATTCTTGGAACTTCAAGCAATATAAGGTCTCAAGACTTAATGATTGAAATGACATTCTGGCTAGACGATATATGTCCAGCCCCGTTTTGGTTTGTAGGTATTTATTCCGCTACAGTATAGGCTTCCGGTTCTGGCAAGCCAAGTCCTGCAAACAGGAAACCCCGTGCCCGAAACCACAGCCCTGAACAACCATAACTGTGCTGGATGGCAGTTTAGTCCAACACTGCTCGTGATTGTATGCCAGGTTCTACGAATCCAAGCTGAGAGATGATGTCAACTCAGGATAAGCTCCAGGATGAACTTAAGCGGTTCGGGCAAGTGCGAAAGTTTGTATTTTCCTGTTGCTATGATGTTGACGGTTGGGAGGTGCGCGGCTAATTTTTGCAGCTTACAAATACTTGCCGGAAACAGGAACAAGCGCCTAACTTGATCATGTCTATTGTCTAATCAGCCGCACTGGAAGGCACATCCGACAGAATTTGTATCGCGATTCTTGAACAATGCTGCATTTCCCGGCAATGGTCCTTGCAGGTTTCCTTGTGTTTGGCTGCGCGACATCCTGCATCTTATTGCAGCTGAATGATGTTGACGGTCTAGGGTATTTAGGCTACTCAGGCTAAGCAAACGACTGCCGGAAGCAAATATCGACACCATCTACGGCGCTACGGCCAGTTTCATGCGGAGAGGGGACCGTGGATTTATGGCAGCAAAAGCGGCAGCGGTGCCTGCCCCGGGTGGACAGTTCCACTGCGCCGCCAGGGAACCAGAGTGTTGCCACTGAAGCATGCACACAGCCGACTGTGAAACTTCGAGAGCACGGCCCAAAGCGTCCGAATACCCTGGCCCTATTATAGACCCGTGCACCTAGGACCGGATCCACTGGAACAGACTCGTGGTTCCTAATTACATTTTGCCCCAGCTAGTGACAGCTAGTGGGTTTTGCTTTCAGAGGTCACGTTTTTTTTTCCAACGCTGTGTTGCCCGCTGACTTGCACACACGAAAAGGTGCCCAAACTCACACGCACTCACTCACTCACTCACTCACTCACACCTTGCTCAGTTACTCACTCACTCACTTTTGCTTACAGTAAGAGCACGCCCGCGCGCCCCCACGCGCGCCCATGCACGCACACACACACACACACACACACACACACACACACATAAACACACACACACACACACACACACACACCCACGCACACGCACACGCACACGCACACGCACACGCACGCACGTACGCACGAACGCTAACATGCACGCACGTTTACCTTGACACAAGCAACCATTGCACATACATGCATACGTACATGCACGCATGTGTGCATGCGTGAATGTAGATCGCACGAAGACCCGCGTAAGACCTGCATGTGTATTCTGTGTATGCATGGATGGAGAATGCTTCGTGCAACCGTTTCAGTTGTGTGGCCTTGGACCGACCACTACTATGGAAAGCAGCTGCACGACGAATCGAGGGCAGCACACAGGCTTGTCCCAAACCCTGCGCACTGCACTTATCTGCCAGCTCAAACCCCAGGCCTATTCCCGACTCAGAGCACCTTCCTTCTGCACACCAACATAAGCAAGGGCTCAGATTACAGTCTGCATCGGGGTACCGATGGAGGGCTCGGACGCCCTAGGCGCAACCAGAAAAAACATTGTCCTATCTCCAGCTGTGCTGGAGAGGCACTGCACAATAGAGCCCCATGACCTGAGGTCTTTGCATCCCTGCCAACTGCAATCCCGGAGATCATCAGAAGTCCATGTCGATTCTTCCAGCTCCTTCATAAGCTTGAGAAACTCTGAACCAATAAATTCGTAGTTCCCGAACCAAGCGCAAAACTCTAGACCCCTGAACGCTTGAAGCTGGAACCTGCACCCTAAGCTCCAGACTTTGACAGTGAAAGAGTCTAAAGCCCTTTTCGCAGGTCCACAGAGGCGCCTTGAGGGGCCTTTGGCCGGTACTGACGAATGATTATCATCGTCAGCTCCTACATGTTGAGAACTCCATGGGTCGAGTTTTCTGTTTCATCATTCAGATAAAAGTATGGCGTCTTAAACGGCAAATCCGCGACCTCGACGGCATACCGGGAAACTTTAAAGGAGCGGAGGTCAGTTCGACTGCGTCGCGGCATCAGCGGCGGGCCAAAGTGTGCGACCTTGGAATGGTCGCGGATGTAAGAACCCGACTCCGCAAGGAATCCGAAGGGCCTGCGGTGAGATCTACGAGAAAATACGAGAAACAATCGGCATGCAAAACAATGCTCGTTCTCCTCCGCTTCATCTGATAAGCCTCCTATTCAAGAGGGGAATGTGCAAGGAGCGGCAAGCCCGCTCGCAATGGGAAGCATGCAATACACGTGGTCTGCGTTATTAAAACTTACTTTCCTGTCGGTTTAGGGTTGAGGGCCAACACCTGTGGTTTTCGGTCAACACGGACACCCATCAAGAATACTCACCAACGAATCAAACCAGATGTACGAACCGGTTTAAAGAACCCTGCCGTCAGTTCTTCATAAACCAAACTGACGAGGATGTGAAAGAGCCCAAGCCTTCCATGCATCCGACCCCCATAGATATTACAACATTGAGGGCCGCAAAGTGGCAATCAGTGACTCGGATGGAAACTCCAGAACAGCAACCTTACGCAGATCCACGAGGTTCCACACAAACCTTATTCTGATTTTAGGGCTCCGGCATTTAGTAAGAACCCACCTCATCAATCTAGCTCATTTGCTGGGCTGGGTGAGGCATGTGGAAAACAGTAGGCTCTAATAGATTGAACTAAAGTCTATAGGACTTCTTGCGGTCTTGCCGGCTCCCATCCCATGCTTTGCATACACCTCCTGTGGATGTATCCAAATTCGCCGAGGCCGCATCCACATGTTCACAAAAATTTACAATGTAGCCGTCAATCATGGTTTATGGAGACACACTAAGCTTGAACATTTCAAGCTAACCTACTAAGTTTAAGCCCGAAACCCCATCTAATCACCCAGCCCGGCGTACCCTGTCGGCATCAGCCCGTAACTCCACGAACCCGAGAACACCCGCTACCCCGGCTTCTTCATCCCTATACACCCTACAAGCATCTTCGCAGCCCGAGTAGCTGGTCATTTCTTGCCCTTCACTGGCTTGAGGACCTGCCCGGACCGTCTCGCTCGCTCTCCGGGCGTGCCCCAGTACAGACATCCGCACTTTCAGTGTTTAGGCTCTCGCGGTTGAGGCTGCACAACTCCAACCACGAATGCACGCCAAACACAAGGGAAGGAAGCTCAACACATGAGAGGCGCGCAGCTGCGAAAGTTCGAGCTGGGAAGCTAGTGTCCCCTCCAGCTTCTGGCTTCTGAAGCCATAGGCTTGTAGGCCACCCTGCCTTGAAACTGCACATGAGTGTCTCATCGATGCTCATCATCCTTGGTCGAGGCGATTCCCTGCGTGCATTGCTCGTGATAACATGCATGGTGCTAGACATCAAGCCTGATAGTGCAACAGAACACTTCTTCATTACACACACACAGAGCGTCCAGCACAGCGCCCCCACACGCGCAAACAATCTGTCTCTTGTCGGCTACGGTTTGGAATTTAAAACCGTAACCTATGGAAGAGCTAAGGAACAGCAACTGCTACACATCACCCGTTTGCTTTCTTCCCGATCTCTTTCAAAAAGGACCGAATGGTCTCAAGTCAACCCACTTTCTTCGGCGACTTGCAGGGCGAGCCAGGGCAGTCTTACCCCGAATAATCTGGAATCATATGTCAAGGCTTCTGCTGCGAGAACCGTTGATCAACAAACCCGGAAAATTCACCACTGCTAGAATTGCTGAGGGCAGTTCGCACCCGCATTGTCGAACTCACCGCAATAATTCCTTGGCCCACTGGCGAGCCGCGAATTCTCGGCAACTGGGCTTAGGGTTTTGAGTGCACAAGTGCCTCCTGCATCCTGCTGCCGCTCTTCGACTGATATGTGCAGACGCAAGTGGCCAGCGTGGCCAGCATTACACCCATCCCTTTCCGCTGCCCCCCCTCCAATGCCCTGGACGCCATGTTTACCTGCAAGACCTGATAGAAACCCTACTAGTAGCTACTATTTGCTTAAGAACCCCCCAAAAAATAAAAATATATTCTAGGAACACGATACCCTAAACCCTAAACCCTACTAGTAGGAACACGATACGACTATGTTTCACATTGCCCTGTTGACACATTCGAAGAGCAAAGGAGCGGAGCACTGAAGAGCGTGATTAGCTGCCGCTTCGCAAAGAACTCGTAGCCATCTTCCACGACCTCCATGTTTGGGTCACCCCGCGATAAAGGCTGAAGAGGGAAGAGACTGACTTTAGAGCCGGTGTACCAAAAGCATTTCAAAACCCATCACTTCAACCCCATGCCGTTTCAAAACCAACAGGTGCGGCCCTTGCTGTCCCTGTCACGGATACCGCGCACATATCAAAATCCGGTCATGTACGCTTGCGGATCCTCGTTGGGATTACTTACATGCATGCGAAAAATGGTGAATGCGGGATGTGTGGCTGATTGAGCATCGAGCCAGCATAGAAAAGTCACCCTTTTGCTTGCACCACCTTTACGACACAGAGGCCCGTCGTCGAAAACATGAGCTGCCTCACGAAATCCTAAACCCCAAAATAACCTTCATTGGTCATTCGTCGGGGTCGCAAGCTCTTTGAGCCTGGTGTGCGCGGCAGACCAAGTCCATGTCATGTTTCCTTGGCTTCAGAGAGTGCTTCTGACAGGATCAGCATGAAGGTGTGCACCCCTGTCTACATGAACAACTGTGTCTACACATTGATGGTACTGTAGTTGCAGGGCCGGGAGTTAGGGTTAAAGATTGCCCAGCTGGCTTAGAATTCCACGCGAAATCCGAACAAACTACATAAAAGGTTTAGCTCAGGTTTCAAATCCGAAAGCTTTAGGGGTTAGACTGTTCCAACTCCCAAAATCGGTGGCTCAATGCCTGAACCCTGGGACTTCGGTCCTTGTCTGGCTCGTTCTACAAAGGAGTCCCTCGGAAGCAAAATTCGGACGTGTCCGTAACTTACGCTTCAATCCAGTTTTAGGCCATAAGGTACGAATATATACAGGCTGTACATGTGAGGCTAGTTATCTCGAGTACCTCTGTGCGCAGAAAACAGAACAACTTCGATTTGACAGAAAAAAGATAAGCAGATCTAGTCGCATGTGCGAACAAATAAACATACGCCCGGACATGCATACCTACTTACAGAATCTTACAGACAGACTCACATAGGTATCTATGCGTACATCCAATCATGTATACATATTTTATCATACTCACAGCTACAAAACATTTACTTACGTACGTACATACATTCGTATACATACGCATACGTACATACATACATGCATACACACATACAGGCACATATCCACACATGCAGACATGCGTACATTCAAAGATACATGCTTGCATTCCTGAATATATGCGCACATGCATGCACACATACACACACGCACATGCGCACGTACATACATACAGACGATACGGATGCTTACATGCCTACATACCTCCACTTGTACGTCTGTGCATGCATGCATGCATACATGCAACTTCCAGTAAGCATAGCATTGCAATGGCATTGACATTGGCGCAAGGCAACATTACACGGCACATCAAAGCACTAGACGAACAACATACCATAGCACTGCATTGATCTGCATTGTGTTGCCCTGACTGGTCTTGCGATGCACTGCTAAACATTGCAAAACAACAGATAACATAACATAACAATGGCATTAGCACCATACGACATACCATACCATACAGTAGCACACCAGACCAGTCCACACCACACCATACTATGGCCTCGCCGTGCCTTGCAATGCAACAGAAAAGCAAGATAAGACAACAACATAACTTGTAGATGCGCACATGCACGCACACACAGACAGCTATGTGTATGTATATAGATACACATGTACATATACATATATACACATACACACACATATATATGTATGTATGTATGTATGTATGTATGTATGTATGTATGTATGTATGTATGTATGTATGTATGTATGTGTGTGTGCTTGTGTGTGTTTACACACACGCATTAAAGGAGCACAGTGGAATTTTCAATTCCATGCGCAGAAACATCGAATCTAACAACCTTGAGGCTATTTCGCTGCATGGGAGGGTCTGCAGGAAGCTGGTGACCACGTCGGGGCCGAAAATGAACCTCAGCGTGCAGCTGTGCTGAACTGGTTCAGAATGCAGGAAGCTAGTGTCTAGGGTGAGTATGCACACTTGATGGGGCTTCACAGGTTCGAAGAGAAACTCGTCACACTCCTGCAGTGGGGGCACATCGAGGGCTTGGTCTGCATCCTGCTCCCGAGCCCTGCAAACGTCTGAAAGTACTCATATACTGATCCCTGTGTGCTCATTTCTTGAACAGCTGGAGTCCAATCTCGACTGAGTTTTCTTCGGGCATGTTTTCCAAATTCGATTGGTCACCTGGAACCTCGACATATGTAAACTCAAGTGCATAACAAATGAGGGAGAAGCGGTTCAAGCTACACTTGCTGCCTCTTGCTCCTTTAACTGTTGCTATCAGTGTGCTCGGCGTTTGCTGTATCAAGCACACCGCATAGCAGGTTGGGGTCCCTCGCCTCTGAATATCATAGGGTGGATGATATAAATCCTGCATGACCTTAAGGACCCTAGACTATGGGAATATTGTTATATTCCTTATCATGGGTAATGCAGGATTTATACCATCAACAGTAGTATAGATGCATCCAGTGAGTCTCTTCAGACCGTTGTACAGGACATTCCAGCAAAGTAGGATTGAAAAGCAACTGCTCACCGCACAGATCTTGACCAACCCAGTTCCTCCTGAGCTCTCACGAGCGAATTTTCATTCATGCCAGACTTGCAGGGTTACGACGGTTACGATTCCCGGAAAACCCGTGCCAAAGCATGTGGAAATGGTTCTGTCTCGCAAAGGCCCAGGAGCGAAACTCCGCGGTCGTTCTCTGCCCAGCCTGCGATGTCCTGCCACAGCTGTGTTGTGTCTGAGGTAATCTTCGAAAGCTCCAGTACCCAAGGACCCCCAAAAGCATGTCGTTCGGGCCCTGCAGCAAACCAAGTTAAATCAGGGTTGCCCGCCAGCATCAAGCCGAATCAAGCCCCAAACCCTGACAGCTACGTCCCAAACCGGCAACAAAAAACCGTCCTTGTCAGGGTCCGCCCAGAGTAGGTCACAAATCAATCCCGTGTCTGGGACATCTGTCGGCCTTGCGTGACAGTAATTTGGTTTCAGTTTCTTCGGCTCTGTCGATCCGACACCTTAATCCCTGGCTTGCACAGGACTAGACGGCCCTTGTTCAGTGCTACGGCTTGCAGAGTTTAGGAAGTAGGAGTTGCAGTGTCTCGGGCGCAGCTTGGGAAGCTTCTACGAGTCTGAGGTTGAAACACGGAAGTTCAAACTCCTCTCTCAAACCCAGGTCCGAAGGCGAGAGCTACGATGGTCCCACAACAAGCATGGTACCTCGGCTTCCACTTCGGTCATATGACTATAGTGCTGCCGTGTCCAACTGATTGGAAACTGTTCACAGCTCAGCGTCACACGTTCTCGGGCAAAGTGCTTGAAGGTTATTGTGTGTTTTGTCGTTGCCTCCGGGCTAAGGCCAACCTACCATGCAGGGTTTAGGTCTTCTGCTTTGTTGCGGAGCTGTCTGATGTGCCTGGAACGGGCAAGAAGATGCAGAACAGCACCAGCTGTTTCCTCAAAAATCAGAGCCCCAAACCGAGGCCTGACGAGCTTCTTGATCTGGTCGGTGTTGCTGATCTCGGGTGACAGTCCACCTGGGAAACGCGGGCTCAGGGTGCAGGCCTTGGGTCTGTGGCATGACAGCTCTTGCTCTACCATATCATGTACTGTTACTCTTAAACAGCGTACGCGTATGTATCTGTGTAAATACCCATGTATACACATATTACAGATACATGTGTATGTAAAGATCATGTCAAGATACTACGGCGCTTTATGAGGAATACAATGCTGTCCGATTGCTTCCCTGAGCAGCCCTGAGCGGCATGTCAGCAGAGGTGCGGCTGTGACTGGGCAGAAGTCATGGAACTGCCTAAAGAGGAATCAAGGATACAGAATTCGGCATGCACCACACCCGCAGAGCCACAGCATGGGTCTGCATGGCCTGTATGCATGACCCAGCTGCATTACAATTGCAAGATCCGTTGCACAGCTCATGGCAAGCAGCCGTGCATGCAAATGATCTTCTCGTCGATGATGGCACACACGGGCATGCAATTGAAGACGTCGCAGAACTGCTTCCACAGCCTGCACAGGGCACATGGAACCGAGCAGCTCCATCACAACCAAGCACTATATGCCTACTATGCGAAACAAGCGTTCACAGAAATGCGCAGCAAAAGCGCTATCTACGTCTACGTATTCGGAGCAGACAAGCACTTTTTTCAAGGCATGGCGCTTGATGTTGTAGCGCCGCTTGCACTCGTCATAGAAGCCTTCGGCGTCTGCAACAGTTCTCCATCCGCTCTTGCTGCATCGGAGGTGATGTAGAGCTTCGACTTTGTAGGGTCACGTGTTTGGTGCTCTCCGTGCCGGTGCCTAGTCAAACCCAGATGGATTACTGTAGGGTTTTCGACTCGCACACAGCATGCAAGGCTCCACGCCATCCGAGATCGTGACTAGGTCAGTGACTAGGTAGCAACCGGAAGCAATTCGGCCGCGGTACCATACGTGGTTTCGGGTTTGAGGCTTTGGCACTGTGGGCCATCATTACTGGCATACTGTACTTTGCGCCAATGGGTTTCTAGTTCGCCAAATTGAAAAATGCACTTGACCTCGGAAAACATGCACAAGAAGACTCATGCCCAGCTGAAACAACGAGCATCCTACACCGACAAGCTATCGAGCATGCCTGAAGCCTCAGGTGCACGAATCTAAAGCACATTCCCAACCTCGTATCAAGATCCAAGAAGATATGTAACGGTGCTTCACCCTGAGAAAACATAAAACCTTGTGCAACCCACTAACCTGCAGCGCCTCGAAACCCTCCGTCTAGCTGCACATCGGTGCCCTTCAAAGCACATCCCCTGGACGATGAAACTCAAAACCGCAACACCCAAGATCTGATCTGGTACATCCGATCTCGAGCCGAAACCCCGGCTTAAGTTCGGCATCTATACTGGCAGGTCTTAGGCCTGATGACAAAGTTTGGGGTTTATCAAATGAGATACACATAGATGCACATTAGGAGCCTGCAGTGCATTTCGAACTCTACCAGAAACGGTGCAAGGAGCCGTAGATGCGCGTGATGGAGGCGCACTCGTGGTTGCCGCGAAGGAGGAAAAAATTCTCGGGGAATTTCGTCTGCAGGCAGCAGCGGGCGGTAGCAGGGTGCACGTCTCAAAGCATTGGGACTTAGGTAACCATAATTTCGAACTTTGCGGGGTTCGTTGTTTTTTTAGTGATCCTCCATGTGTGCTCTCGTTGTTGGTGCTTGATATGGCGATTGCTCGACCACAACTTCTGTGTAGACAAGGCATTTGCAGTGCATGAGGGCACTAAGCACACATAGCCCTGCAACCAAATGGCTTGGGCCAACATCATTGAACCGCACCCCTGGTACTCCCAGCAAACCTTCTCTCTCTCTCTCTCTCTCTCTCTCTCTCTTTCTCTCTCTCTCTCTCTCTCTCTCTTGCTTGCTTGCTTGCACGGCAGGGCACAGGCCCCTCTCTCTCTCTCTCTCTCTCTCTCTCTCTCTGTCTCTCTCATCGATGATGCACCTTGTAGGCGAAAAGCAAGGTGATGGTCTCCAGGCTCTGCTTGCCTTTTTTGAAGCATTTTGGCAAAAAGTTCAGGGCGTCTGGTGAGGTTTTGGCTTTAGGAGGCCTTGGGGATAGTGGAAAGCTGGGAGTTCTTGGTAGTTCGGAGGCTTAGCTTGCTGCAACTTTGTTGTTGCCTAAACCAAACCCATTCCTGGAAGGAAACAGCCCCCCTTTCAACTTAAACGCTGCTTTCAATATTCTGGTATCCTGCTGCATGACCCCACCCCACCCCACCCCAGCGCCAGAAACGAATTAACGTTTTGTGTTCGGTGTCGGGGACTGGACTGTCCGGCCAGGCCGCGAAGGGCCAAACTGGAAATGGAGGAGGAGATCAGGAAAGCCACTCCAAATTAGCCTTAATCGAGATGCCTTTTGCTGAATTCCGGGCTATAGTGCTTTCGCTGGACCAGAGTTTGTGCTTCGTCTTGCGTGTTCTCTGCTGCAAAATCGAGTGCTCCTGTTTGCTGGGCCTCCGATTCGGCCTGTTCGTGTTTTTTTGTTGTTGAGTCACGTTTTAGCTGACCGTCGCGTTCCACCACAGAAACGTTCAAAGGAAAGCACAGCAAATTTTGTTGTGCTCCTGCATGTGCTTTGTATGATGCCAAACTTGATGCTCCTCTTGCCGGCGCAGACATGCCGTGCTCTTATTTGCGTTATTTCTGGCACACAGTTTTGCCGCTTTTGGCCGTGAAAAACTTCGCTCATCCGAGCCCTGCCTCGGTCGACGTAGTCGCCCAGGAAGAGGTAGTTGCTTTCCTCCGGCAGGTTGAGGCTGCAGCGTTGAGGGCGGCAGGGTTGAGGACGAGGGCTTTGAAACTTTCCTCTGTTCGTGGTTATTGACGAAAGACCCTCTCGCGGAACTGCGGAAATGCCCAAAGCCAAAACCAAACCGTCAGAGTGAAACGTGAGAGCGTTGACCGGAAGCTCTGAAGTGGAAACCAGTCAAACCCGCCGCGAGCAACACACTGAACTCTTGCGGCGCGATGTCCGGAGGGAAACCGCCGTACTCAAAAAGCCGGAGCAGGTCGTGGTACTGGCCATGGACGTCGCCACCTCGGCAAGGGCTTTCGGAGTCTTGTTCGGTGGAGCCGCTCATCACACGGCTGCTAACGCCACAACCTGAGGACCAAACCCCAAGCCCTAAATCGACAACCTGAAGTCTCAAAACACCACGGCTCGGCCGGGTCACAAATCTTCAAGGGTGCCTCGAGCTCCAGCAGGGCCTGAAAAAGACATACAACTAGGACGCCCAAGCGATCAGTTATTGGGAACTCAGATTGTTGAAGGTTTGTTGGGTTCAGGATCTTCTGGTGTAGGATGTTAGGGCTTCAGGTTTCAGAAGCAATGCAGGAGCATACACCTCGAAAAACACAGGATGACCAGGGCCGCACCAAACCACGAGGACCACCGCGACATCCAAGACAATGATTTTCCGCCATGTGCCGACGACGCAGGAGTCCACAGAGACGCATCGGCCCCGAAGAACGAGCATCATCAGTATCAGTTAGAGTTGCGAACGATCTAATCCCAAGTCAGCTGGACCAGCTGTGAAGGATCTGATCCCAGGCACCGCGCATCACCAGCATCAGCTGGACTAGCAGTGAATGAGATGACTCCAAGCACCGCGCATCATCAGCATCAGCTGGATTAGCTGTGAAGGATCTGCCCCCAAGCACCACGCATCATCAGCATCAGCTGCGAATGGTCTGATCAGAAGCATCGTGCATCATGCGCATCAGTTGGATTAGCTACAGTATGAACCCATGCACCGCGCATCATCAGCAACATCTGGATTTGCTGTGAACGATCTGATCCTAAGTCGCAGACATCTGCGAGCGATCTGATCCCAAGCACTGCGCATCATCAGCATCAGCGACAAGCGAGCTGCGAGCGATTTAATCCGAAGCACCGCGCATCATCAGCATCAGCTGGATTATCTGTGAAGGATCTAACCCCAAGCACCACGCATCATCAGCATCAGCTGGATCAGCTGCGAGGCACCACGCATCAGCAGCATCAGCTGCGCGCGACCTGATCCCAAGTACTGTGCATCATCAGTATCAGCTGCACACGATCTGATCCCATGCACCGCGCATCATCAGCATCAGCTGGACGAGCTATGAACGATCTGATCGCGCGCTCCGCACACCACCATCATCGCTGGTTCAGCTGTGAATGAGCTGACTCCAAGCACCGTGCATCATCAGCATCAGCTGGATTGGAGGTGACGATCTGCTCCCAAGCACCGCGCATCATAAGCATCAGCTGGATCAGATGCGCACGGTCTGATCAGAAGCACCGCGCATCATCAGCATCAGCTGGATCAGCTGCGTGCGACCTGATTCCAAGCACCGTGCATTTTCGGCATCAGCTGGATTAGCTGTGAAAGATCTGTTCCCGTGCACCGCGCATCATCAGCATCAGCTGAACTAGCTATGAACGATCTGATAGCGTGCTCCACACACCAACATCATCAGCTGGGTCGGCGGCGAGGGATCTGGTCCCAAGCACTGCGCATCATCAGCATCAGCTGTGAACGACCTGATCCGGAGCATCATCAGCATCAGCTGCGACTGATCTGATCCCAAGCATTGCGCATCATCAGCATCAGCGCCAAGCGAGCTGATCCCAAGCCCTGCACATCATCAGCATCAGCGGTGATCAGCTGCGAGCGTTCTAATCCGAAGCACCGCGCATCAAACAGTTGACTATCTGGCCCTCGAAGGCATGCATCAGCAGCATTTGGCGTTGGCTGTGGGCGATCTCATTCTTGAGCCGGGACACCTGTTCCGGGCAATCTGGCCGCACATGGTCCCTAAGAACGCGCATCATCAGCATCAGCTGGATCAGCTGCGCGCGACCTGATTCCAAGCACTGTGCATCATCAGCATCAGCTGGATTAGCTGTGAACGATCTGATCCCATGTACTGCGAATCATTAGCATCAGATGGACCAGCTATGAACGATCTGATCGCGTGCTCCGCACACCAACATCATCAGCTGGGTCAGAAGCGAGGCATCTGGTCCCAAGCACTGCGCATCATCAGCATCAGCTGGATTAGTTGCGAACGTTCGGATTGCAAGCACTGCGCATCATCAGCATCAGCTGTGAACGACCTGATCCGGAGCATCGCGCATCATCAGCATCAGCTGGATCAGCTGCGAACGATCTCAGCCCAAGCACCGCGCATCATCAGCATCAGCCGCGACTGATCTGATCCCAAGCATTGCGCATCATCAGCATCAGCGCCAAGCGACCTGATCCGAAGCACCGCGCATCATCAGCATCAGCTGGATTGGCGGCGACGATCTGCTCCCAAGCATCGTGCATCATCAGCATCAGCTGGATTGGCGGTGAACGATCTGATCCCAAGCACCATGCACCATCAGCTGGATCAGCTGCGAACGCTTTGGTCCCAATTGCCGCACATCATCAGCATCACCTGGCTGCACGGCCCGCGATGTGAACCAAGATTAACAGCATTACAAGTAGGATGCATTAGGCGGGTCAGCTCTCGGCCATCTGACCTCAAACTTTGGTGTTGGCTGGGGCAATCTGATCCCTCGGCGGTGTAATTGTGGGCGCTGTGGCCCAAGCACCGCGAGCGAGCTGTTCGCGATCTGGCCATTAAGATCGTGCATCAGATTGCGCAATCCGGCCACAAGGACCGCGCATCCTTTTAGCGACCTGGTCCCAAAGAACGCGCATCATCAGCATCACAGGGATCAGCTGTGGACGATCTGGCTCAAGGACAGCGCATCAACAGCGTGAGCAGGGTTGCGGGAGATGTCATCATTTGTGATCTCGCAAAGAACTACGCCGCATCATCAGCATCAGCTGGGACAGCTGACAAACGCGCACGAATGAGCAAAGAGCCCAGGTGCACGCTAACTTGACGACTCGGTCAATCAAACAATCCGAAAGTGGAGCTTCTGGCAGCCTGGGCCCCCATTCAACCTCATCTTGGCACCCCAAGACTAGAAACAACTGGTAATCTGCAGCCAGCAGCTGTTGGCGCGTATTGCATGTGCGCCTTTGTAACCACAGGCCATTTCAATTCTCGAGCCCTTCAAAAAGAGGATTCGTCGGCAAGGACGCCCGAAAGGCAACCCATGCAACCCGCAATGCACCAAACGAAAGAACAAAGTGGACGTCATTGCGCTTCCTGACAAATCGACCCCGACATGCTTATACCAAGCCAACGCAAGCCCGGCAGTTAGCTACCCATGACTTAGCGCTATAACCGCTAAAGGCTCAAGGCCTTACTCCTGTCATACTTTGTCCCAGTGGCGTTCTGATCCAAAAAGATCTGGCGGACAGCCGTGCACAGGCCCTTTACCTGCCCAGTGGAGAGGTAGAACCGTTTTCAATAGCCGAAGGTTTCGGCCTCAGGATAACCATGCAAAAGTCGGGGCATCAGGATTTGCGGCTTCGTCCTGCAACCTTGGACCTACAGCCGAAACAACAAAGCCCCAATGCTTTGAAGCTCTCTCTCTCTCTCTCTCTGTCCCTGCCTCCCCCCATCCGACCATGAATCCAATAATCCATCCATACCTACTGCCTGGCTCGCTGGCTACCTAGTTAACCTAGTTACCCACGTACATACACACATACGCAGACATGAAAGACACACATACCTGCATGCATACTTCTCACCTACACACAAGCATGCCTAACTTCTTGCAAACACACGCACACACACGCACACAAAGGTGCATGACAACCGCTTATCTGATTTGACTACCTGGCGCTCTCTCCGTCTCTCCGTCTGTCTGTCCATCTATCTGTCTGTCTCTGTCTGTCTGGCTGCGTGTCTGCCTGCCTGACTGTATGTTTATCCACCGACCTATCTATCGATCTGTCTATCTGCCAATCCATCTCTCTATCTATCTGTCCAGCTTTCTTTCCACCGTTACACAAGCATACATACATCTCGTCTATTCTCCAGTAGACACACTTGTAAACACACATGTATGTATGTGTATACATGCATGCATGCATGCAAATATTGTGTGTATGTAAACTTGTAAACAAGACGTATAGATGTAGAAGTGTGTATGCAAAATGTGAGTGATTCTTGAAAAGCAGGTAGATAGACAAATAGACAGGTCGACGAAGAAATAGACTGTAAATAGCAAGATAGGTAGATAGCAACCCAGAAAGATAGAGCGTGTCTTCGTCTGTGGGACTTGGTTTGCACCAACCTAGGCACGAATACCAAACCATGTCACCACAAAGTCATGCTTGCATCTGCACCTCAGGCATCCGCAAACACCTCTTTTGAACGATCTCTCTCTTCCACAAACACCTGTGCTACTGGACTCAAGTCGAGTCTAGACTAGCCACACGACGACATGCAATCATGCACAAACACCTACGCTCTACCAAACTCTACACCCTTGGCAGCCGCCTGCACTTCCGGGATGTTCACCAACTTGCCGGGCTTTCCTGCGGAGCTCTAACGAACTTTCACTCCTTGTGCCATCAAAACTGCATGAAGGCGCCGGGGCCGTTTTCGTGGAGAGAGAGCGAGGGAGAGAGAGAGAGAGAGAGACAGCGACAGCGAGACAAGCAAGGGATGAGGGAGGAAGGAGGGGAGGGAGGAGCGAGGAGGGATGGATATTGGGGAGAAGGGGGGAGGCGAGGAAGATTGGAGAGAGGTAAAGGGCTGGAAAAGACACTTATCGAAACCCCTATAAACTGCCTCTACAATAATTATCTAACGCGATCGGCCTCCCTTCACTTCCAAGCATTGGTCGACGATAGCCTTGGTCGGTGGGATTCTGGTACATTCTAGGGCGTTCGGGGTTGCAAGCTGCAGCCTCAGGCGAATGCTGAAACTGCAGTCGGATAGGCTTGAGCTGGGCTTCAAACAACGGATCCAGAATCTTCAAGCTGAGTACCGTGATGGCCGAAGATCACTGGCTGTACGATCCAGTCATCGTTTCAGGCTTTGGGTCTACAGTAGCTGCCAGGCCACATCAACGTCCACGGCGCCCTCGGCTTTCCTTTCATAGGGTGCATAGGAGCTCAGGGTCTAGGAATGTTTTCTAGCTTTAAACTAGAAATGTGGATCAACCGAAACCTTCATCCTATCACCTTACGCATGCGAACGGTCGGGTCCTGAAGTCTGCATTTCCCACACCCATCGCCCCAACCCTACGAGGAGACTCAACAGTCTGGCGGGCTTCATGACGAAGGGAAACTCGAATCTATAGTATAGGGATGTACAGGGCATGGGGTCTTGAAGGTTGGGGGAATCGCGAACCTCGAACAGCTTTCGGCATCACCCATCGTCGCCAGCACTATTGACAATCAACCTTGGGTTGCTATTGTTGTGGTGGTCATTATCAACCGGTTCCAGGATAGGGTTCTCATCCTAAACGGCAGAAGTTCAGATCGAGGCTCTTCATGGCCATCTTGCAGGACCTCAACGGCCGGCTGGCGGCAAGGACGCGGTCGAGATCTTCTCGTGCTCTTGAAGCCGAAAGATGCGGCATTCAGGGTCTCTCTCCCTCCCTCCCTCCCTCCCTCCCTCTCTCTCTCTCTCTCTCTCTCTCTCTCTCTCTCTCTCTCTCTCTCTCTCTCTCTCTCTCTCTCTCTCATCCCAACCTTCTCAACCTGAAGCTGTGCCTGTATCTCTCTAACAACTGTCAGTTAAACCCTAAAGCCTACAGACTCTCCAGCTCAGGCAGGCCTCCCGGACTCCTCGAGTTGAGCGATTGGGGGGGGGGGGGGGGTTATCCTTTTGGGTTGCAGGGAGCTTTTTGTACGGATTCGAGTTCGGGCGTGCTGGTTCTACGCCGGGACTGTTCGCTCTTCCATGCTGACACTAGTATGCTGGACTCCCAGGTTCTGGCAAGTGCTGTTCAAGGTTCAAGTGCCCTTGACACCTCGCATCTGGGACCGGCACACGGCGCACTGGGCCACCTGCAGCAGGCGGATCTTTTATCCGAAACCCCGGGATCGCTTCCCAAACACAGAAGGAGTCACCCTCACCTTCATTAGCCTAGCTAGCTCCCAACATGACCATGAAGTCATCCCAGGTCGTAAACACCACAAGTCTCGAAACTTGCAAAGAACCACGCTTCTTAAGACAACCCACCCATGTATTAGATAATGTGTTCCAAGCCCACCCTATGTGTTGCTGTTCGAAGGCAGGCATCACAGCCGGTATGCACCCACACCTGCACGTATCGTTTAACATTGTATGCGACTTGGCCTATCCGTCCAATTTACATAGATTACAAGCCTAGGGATACGTATAAGCCGCATATAACTTGTAAGGCAGCTCGGTTCGAAGCCCGAAGTCCCCTCAAATGACCCAAGCAATGCCTCCTCCTGCACGAGATCCATCCGACGGCCAAAATTGGCTTCGTCGACATCGTCCTTCTTATTGCTCATTATTTTTGGTGCTGACATCTTCAGGGTTTAGCCCCCAAGAAGACAAACATTATTTAAAAAGACAACCCAGATGTTGGAAACAATTAGCGGTTCTACATTGCCGGCACCATGTACTGCTATCAGTGGTTGCATGAGTAGCAGCAACGGCAGGGACACGACAACTGGCACGGCGTCAACAACATGAACAATAGCAGACAGACATAAGTCCTCCCATCACATCAGGGCAATACCCCCCCCCCCCACGAGGTTTCCGGACCTCAGCCTCTGCTTCAGTCGGAAGCTCAACCTCGGCAGGGGCACTCTCATGTTCGGATCTCATGCAAGAGCTGCGGTTGTTGACAAACCCTGTGCTCCCTCACATGGAACGGACGAGTTCTTGGATTTCGCGATGGGCTCGTTACAGTTACGTCTCAGGGTGCAATTGCGGCTCAAGCCTCACATGAAGCTAGGGGCGAAGTGGCAACAGCAACGTTAATCACAAACAACCTTTAAGTTGGGGCTTCAAGGACCCGACTCAGTTGGGAAGAATTGAATGTCCAGTTGCTTAAGTACTTCAGGATTGTAACCCTCGGCTGAGCCTGTGTGCTCTGAGCCCATAGAGACCCTCGACCCGAAAACACCGTCGGCCAAGAGAACCGCTCCATTTGGGGGTTTCGGGATTGGGTTCAGGGTTTGGCGTTTCGCCTGTAGGGGGTTTGTAGGGCTTATATAAATTAACAAATATGAGGTATCAGGGATCGTGGTTCAGGATTGAAAGGCTTTGAAAGTTTCAGGCTGCCCTATGCAACCTCCAGCCCTGACCTACAAACCAACTCCTCAAAACACCCCTTGGGCGCAGACTCCCAGCGCCCTGCATGCTTCACTCCGCGTCTCCAGGTCCTCCGGTTCCCCAACTTCCAGCCCAACAGATTGAACCCAAAGCCTGTTCAAAAGCAAGCGACTCCGCATTGCCAACGTCTGTAGCAAAGTTTGATGCACTCATATGCACTCCAGCCCGGGATCGTTTTGGAGGGAAGATGGGACGGAGGGGAACATAAGAGAACAAGTGCAGACAAATAGGCGGATCCAGTCTGGGATCCATCAATCCAATGAGCCCAAACCTAAAGAATACCCAGTACAAGACGACTTACCTACTGTGTTTGCACAGCTCGGGTTTGGCCACTGCGCCCACGCCAATCGAGGGCTGAGGCCGCTCAGAGACCCCGAGCTTTGGATTTAGTGGTTCAGGCTGCGCTGGACTTCTACTCTGTCGGGCACCTTCTCTTCAGCGCTGCGGTTTTCGCTCAGTTTCAGGTCAGGAGTTTGGATTCGGTTTTAGGTTTAGGATTTGTGTGTTGGCCCGCGAGGAGCCAAAGCAAGGTCCAGATTACTGTAGCCAGGTTGTTTGCTGCCGGTTTCATCCCTCGCTGGTGTGAAACGTAGCCTGGAATGCTTCTCGATACGGCTTGTCCGCAGCGCATTCGTGCAGCTCGGAACTTCTCATCTTCCTGCTCTGCTGCAAAAATACTACTGCTGGCCGTCCTCGTCGTCGTCGTCGCAGCAGCAGTGGGTTGCATTTCAGCGGCAGTGGCAGTGGCAACGGCATCGGCCGTAGCGGTAGCGGTAGCAGCAGCAGCGGCAGCAGCAGTAGTCGCAGTTGCCGTCGCAGGGTATTATTAGTCGTCGTCGTAGTATGAAGTAGCGGTAGTGGTAGTGGTCGTGGTTTTGGTCGTGGTCGTGATGGTGCCGTGGTCGTGGCAGCAGGCCTGGTGGTAGTGGTGGTGGCGGTGGTGGTGGTGGTGACGGTAATTTTCTCAGCAATTGCCTTTTGGGATCAGCGGCCAATGGCAGTAGCAGGAGGAGGTGGAGTAGAAGCAGCAGAAGTGGTGGAGCAGGAGCAAACCGAGCAGTAGGGCCAGCAGCAGCAACAGTAGGTGTAATCGCGGTCGTCGACGTAGCATGGCGTGGCCACAACTGCTGCTACAGAGTTACTGCGAGGATGCGAGGGTTATTCGAGTCGTGCTTGTTGCGGCATCGGCATTGGCGTCAGTGCTCTTGCCGCTGGGAATACGCTGAGAAGCCGCATTCCGAAATGCCCCCAGTTGCATCTTATCTTTGCTGACGACCTGGGGGAAATTTATGGGCATTGGCAAGGTTTGTCTGCAACGGAGACCTACCCTCATGCTACCATTACAGGAAGCTAGGGTCATCATTGGCAGGTATCTCTTGCTGATGCGGCTGGTAGAACCTACTTCATCACCGGGCCCGCTTGATGTCCAACCATATACCATCGTCCACCTGAGTGCTTCGAGCTGGGGCTAAAGCTGGGCAGTAGGGTCAGATTCACAGCTAACACCTGCTGCGCCTGCTAAACTTGGCCGTTGCTGCTTGTCAGGTCACGTGCTGAACGATGCCAAGAAGGTGCCATCTCATAATTCATCCAGTACGTGCACTGGGAAGCTTTTATCACTCGCAAGCTCAGACAGTTCCTGGTTAGCAAGCAGAGTGCTAGGAATGGCAGCGAGAATCATGTTACAGTCGTAAGCAGCCCATGACGTCACGATACTTCACAACGGATAGAAACGTGCTGGAACTGATAGCGTTGTTCTTTCGGTGGCCACGATGCAGCCGCATTGCTTTCCTGTCGATGGTTTCAACATCATGTGTATGTCCGGCAAGTGGCTTCGACTGCGAGCGAAGGTGTTGGTCGCCTCATGCAGGCCACCGTTGCTGGTCTCCTAGGCCAAGGTTCACTTACAAGGCCAGGTTGTAGTTTGAGCTTTCTCGATGGAGTTGTGACGATTGGTATCGGTTCCCGGGAAGTTGATGGTTTCATATGGTTTCCCAGCGCGACATGGCAATGATGATGACGGCCTGGTTTCGAGGCTCTGACTCCCACAGGATCTCTCTTCACTGGCACATTCTAACGAAGGCGAACGCTCGCAGCGGATGCAGGCACTTTACACACTTCGGGTCACAAATTCAACAAAGTCCCCAAACTCCGACAGTCACGGGTATCACCCGCCTTGCATTCGAGATTCCTCCGTGCACACTACCACTGCCATGTTTGAGGAGGTAAGCAGAACCTCGGAAAAATCTCGGATCAAGATGCAAGTCGAATATGCGTGCCTCTCGATCAGTCTAACTGCACCCAAACAATGGTTTTCAGCGCCTTCTCTTGGGCTGCGTTTCAGCACCCTAGAAGCACCTAGCACTGAAGATAAGAAGCCTTCAAGCGATGCGTGACGGTCCAAAGTCTTGGGTCATGTGTGTTGGTGGGAGGTTCTGCAGGGCTGCGCAGCGACTGACTTGAGAAGGTCCTGCCTACTGTACGAACCAGCCTTCTGCCAAATTTTGTATCACTGTAGATCACTGGCACAACGGCCTCCCAAACCTTCACCGCCAAGGGCTTCCAAGCTTAACACATGAAGCTTCTGCGGTAATTCCAACTTGCCCCATGAAAGGGGTGATTGCAGGTATTCTATTCTACGCACACACACACACATTAATTAACACACACACTGCCACACAAGCCCATCAAACCCAATTAACGCTCACTATGTCTTTGCAAAAAGCCGCCTCCTCCGAGGACGTGGTCACAGTGGGCAGAGTCGTCGAGCTAAAGATTCGAAACCAACCTCAAGACGCGTTCATGTATGTTCATGGTTCCATGGCTGGAGGAAGGGTTCCGCGTTGCTCCGGGAATTGAAGCAACACCGGCTTGAGGCCCTCAGGGCTTCTGCGGTGGCCACATGGTGCTCAATGTCATTAAAACCTAGAAGGCACGACCTCTGTGGCTCGAGGACTAGAACGGTAGAGTGGGCCGAGGTCTTGTGGTAGAGTTGTTTTGAAGCTTCTCGCTAACACATAGGAAGATGTCGTGAGTCGTCTTAGAGCTGCTGTGAGAAAATCTCAACACAGGCGGCTACAGCGCCCGGATGCCGCTACATCCTGGATGTTGACCAAGAGGCTCGTCAGAATGTCGCTGCGGCCGACCATCCTCCTCGAAAGTTCAGATCGCTTCGGGGAGAGGGCACGGTGGCGTACTCCATGACCCAGGGCTTATAGGGAAGAGCAGATAGGACAGATAGAAGTCCCAATCTTCGTTCCTGCGCTGTCTGTTCTGCTGCGCTCCATCCATATACCTCCTAAATTCTCCACCCTACCCCTAAGCCCTAAATCCTAAACCCTAAACTACAAGCAGCCCCCAAACGACCCTCTGCCGTTCGGCCCCATGAGCTCTCTGCCCAGGCACGAGCTGTCTGGGTGCGTGCACACGCACGTGATGCCCGAAGCGTCTTCCTGGAGCTCACTGCGACACAACCCCCGTCTTTAAGAGCAGATGTCGAATGTACATCGAGTTTGATATTTTTTCCCCAGAAGCACCCTGTGGTTCCACACGAACAGCTTGTCCGATCCGGTCCTTGTCGTTGAAGAACAGCAACGGCCCCCACTTCGATACGCTGCTAGCCCAAAGATCGCTCATCGCATCCAGATCTCTGTTGTTGAAGCAGGCATAGAATGCCTGCAAGAAAGTCACGGCTCCGGGTCGGGCTCTGGGTCCTTTCTGTGCTAGATCGGCTGCTGCCTTCCTTGGATTCACCTGAGGTATGCTGGAAAAATCAGCTGCAAAGCCCTGATTCGATCAACATGTTCTCCTAGTAGAGAACCTTCTGTTGACAATCAACACCACAAGCCCGATCCAACAACCCAATACATGAAAGCCCTGAAGCCGAAACTGGTAAACCCTCCACAAGCCCTACGCCCCGAAAGTCTAACCGCATTAAGATTAGAGGCCTCATAAAGATTCGTCCCGGGTTCTTGCAGGGCCCTGATGGAGCCAAGCTCGGCCTGGTTGGCTTCGAGCACTCCCTCGCGAGCATCCTGGAGCTGCCCCCAAGGATCCTCCTCCAGGGGTTGACTTAAATTTGGCTAGTAGGGAATGGAAGAATGGTAGTAATAGTAGTTATAACTGTACCCCTATTCCTCCATTCCCTGCTCACCAAAAGTAAGTTTAGGGTCTCTGCGTTTGCATAGGATTTCGGGTTCGGCGTTTGCACTGGGACTGTCCAGGCGAGGTAGCTTGGTGTTGTTGATGTGGTTTGGGGCTTCTATATTCTTCCATCGAGGTTTGAAGCTTAACTGCCCTTTCATGTTGCAAAGCGTTTCCACAATGAACTTCAGGGGCCTAGCACAGCTTTACCGAGGGGACCGAGGGGCTGCGTCCCAGTATTGAGGGGTCCTTACAATAAGCCTCCCATCGCAGGCAAAATTCGGGATGCTGGGAGTGCTGGGTTGCGGGGTATCAAGACTCGGGACAGAATGAGGTTTCAGTGACTTGGCTTCGTGAAGGGATCGGTAGAGCTTAAGTAACTATCACATCGTGGCGGGGAAAAGACAATATGTAGAAATAGGGGAGGCAGCTACGGGCTTATGGTCCGAGCGTAAATACTACTTGTTCAAGCTCCTGTGCTAGGAAGGTCTATTACACTCTGATGCTCGGAAAGCCCGACGCCGTAAAGAGGCTGCGCACAATTGGTGCTCCAGATTTCGGAGCTTCTTCACGAACCCGACCATACAGCAATTTCCCAGTTCTTGCCAGCCATCCAAACACCCAAACCTTCAAAGCCTGTCACAATCCTAAAATAGTTATTCGATGCCTTAACTTCTCGTAGAATAAAACGTGCCATGCGCCTCCAAACTCAAAGCCACGTACCCGAAACCTGACATCCGACTCTCCGAAACCTTTCGTTCCATGCGAACCTTCGCCACCGATTCAAAGGAGATGTTTTCTGGCAGTAAGATGTCGAGCAGCAAATCCATATGTATGAAAACTCGTGAACAGTGCCCAGTGCACCGACAGGAAAACATCATCACCAGCCTCATCATGAAGCCCTAGAGCCCCAGCAGCCCCATCCCTAATATTAATGAGGCAGATTCCCAAAGGGAAGAACCTCTCCTCTTTCCCG